TTAATCATTATTTTCATCACTGAAATATTATTTGTCTGCAAAGGCTGCTGATTCAAACGTCTCCTTTAGAGAAACCCCCAAAGAAGTGCCCTCTTTCAAACGGGCCATTTGTTTTGAGGGAAATAAAATAAGTAAAGATTGTTTTTCCCACATCCTCAGAGCCTTAGAGCCTAGTGCTATTGAGAGTGGCCACCTGAGGACAACCTGTGAGTTCAGAGTTATTGAAAACAATGGGAAAAAGCAAAGCAGCCATATTGAAAGAGGGCAGTTCTGGGTGGAATTCTCTGTAGCACAACTTTATTTTTCATTTTCTGCTAAAGGAGAAACTTGTTATGAAGATTCAGCAGGGGAAAATTATCTGTCCTTAAAAACCCACCAAAAGAGTGACCTACACCTACACATAAGATTTCTGTGAAACTAAACTATGTGGGGAGCTTGAAGCTACTTCGTGTTGTTATTGGGATAACTTGGGACAAAACAAATCAATCTGACACATTAAATTTTTTTAATGACAACTTGTAAATCATTAATTCCTAAACTAATTAATATATTTACCTATAAATTCTTAGAAAATCCAACCTATTTTCAAAGAGCAAGGACTGCAATATTGCTATTTTTTTATGCACTACAAAAGGGTTGAGTGTCAACTTTAAGTGCAACACTCTTAAGCTACAGAGCCATAACAGCCATACTGGAGGGCTGTGGTTTTGTAACCACTTCAGTAAAAATATGTATTAGTACATTATTATTGGGTTTGCTGTTCTTTTTAACTTAATACAGTAACCTAAAGCATGGTAGAGGTACATGATATAGATTGGACCAAAGAAAACCATTACATATGTAACTGAGAAGGAAACCTATGGAGCTAAATACCTAAGGGATATCATGGTAACCATGGTAATAAACAGGCACTACAGCCACCAGCAGGGAGTAAATTCAGTATGAGCACATAGGGCAAAATTAGAGGAAAAGTAGTGTTAGGGATAATAATAGGTTAGCACAGTCATAGCACTCACCCACTAGTAAGAGACATAATTATATGATTATGTTATAAACCAGTAGATTATGTGAGGTGAAATGTAGTTCTTAACACTATACCTATCTAGAAATGAGTTCACTGAAAGCCCAGAATCCAAATTTACAGATGTCCTCCCACCACTATATTAGGGTAAACCAAAACTCAACTTCTGAAAACCCTGTGGTAGGATACCTCCTTCACTTCATCAACCTCAACTTTTCCTCCTCAGGCAAAGGAAAGGGAGACAGCCCTCAGTAAATCAGTAAATCAGTCTGACTCCACTGGATTTTTCTGTTCATTCTGGTTTTAATTTTGTGTGTGCGTGCGTGCGTGTGTGTGTGCGCATGGATGCGCACAGGGTGTACTTGAGGGTAGGCCCAAAACGATCTCTTAAGCAAAACAAAGACACCCCCTCCAAAAAAAAAAACCCCTCCCAAACACAAATAGTTGTTCATGCTGCCCATGGGCGGCAGATATGCTAGGCAGGGGAAGGCACAAACTTCCCAAACCACCAGCCTGGCCCTGCCCACACTCTACTCCCAGAACACCTGCTGTAGGCATTCTGGGGATGGAGTGTTACTGCCCCCATAGCCTGCCCTCTCTATGCTCCTGGCTGGGGAGGCTGAAGTCACATGCCCTCTTCCCTCCCCAGTGCTCCAGGCCCAGGACATTGGAGCCATGCACCACCTGCCCTCCCCATGCTCCAGGGCCGGGGAAGCTGGAGCCGCACACTCTCCTCTCGCTCCGTGCTCCAGTGCCAGGGATGCTGGAGCCACACACCCTCTCCCCTCCCCATGATCTGGGGTGAGAAGGGCTGTGGTGCGCACATGTGGGGGTGCCCCCACAGTGTGCTGCCCCATCTCCTCATGAGGGGTGGGGGCTCAGAAGAAGGGGCGGGGTTGGAGTGGGGCTCGGAGCTTGTCTCCCCAGCCCTACCTTCACCAACTGCCCATGATGCCGCCTCACCTTACTATTCTCACTCTTGTTGCTAATCCTTTCTCAAGCAACTGTTAACTCAGACTGGCCTTGTCTACACTTACAGCACTGCCCCAGTGCTGCTGCACCACTCCAGGGGCTGTGTCTACACTGGGCCACTTATTCCGGAAAATCAGCCGCTTTTCCAGAATAAGCTGCGAGCTGTCTACACTGGCCCTTGAATTTCCGGAAAAGCATCGACGCTCTACTGTACAAAATCTGCCGCTATTCCGGAAAAACTATTCTGCTCCTGTTCGGGCATAAGTCCATATTCCGGAACACTGTTCCGGAAAAGGGCCAGTATAGACAGCCCAGTAGTCTTTTCCGGAAAAAAGCCCCAATCGCGAAAATGGCGATCGGGGCTCTTTTCCGGAAAAGCGTGTCTACATTGGCCACAGACGCTTTTCCAGAAAAAGGGCTTTTCCGGAAAAGCAGCCTGTCAATGTAGATGCTCCTTTTCCGGAAAAACTGAAAACGGAATAGTATTCCGTTTTAAGCAGTTCCGGAAATTCATGCCAGTGTAGACACAGCCCCCGAGAGATTCTCCAATCAGCATAGGTACTGCACCTCCCTGGGAGGGAGTAGCTATCTGTAGAACCAGGTGCAAATACTAAATTTGTATCCACATCAGATCTGCAACTGCAAAAATGATCCATGGTTATAAGCATATATTTGCAGATTCACAGGGCTTGAGATATAAAATTTGGATCTGCATCCATCTGCAATCTGCAAAAAATGGTCTGCAGATAACAGCAGGTGTGGATGCAGATAAATGCAGATACAAAGCAGATATCCTTATATTTGCAGGGCTCTAGATATTTCCAACAATAGGGCTACGTCTACACTGGCAGCTTCTTGCGCAATAACTCTTTTGCAGAAGAGTTCTTGTGCAAAAAGTCTTCCAGAAGAGAGCGTCTACACTGGCATGTGCTTTTGCGCAAGAGATGTGCTTTTGCGCAAGAGCATCCATGCCAGTGTAGATGCTCTCTTGCACAAGAAAGCTCTGATGACCATTTTAACCATAGGGCTGTTGCCTGTCTACACTGGCCTCTTGCGCAAGAACAGTTGTGCAAAAGGGCTTATTCCTGAGTGGGAGCATCATAGTCCTTGAGCAAGAAGCCCTGATTTCATACAGTAGAACGTCAGTTTACTTGCGCAAGAACACACGGCCAGTGTAGACAGGCAGCAAGTTTTTGTGCAAGAGCAGCTGCTTTGGTGCAAGATCGCGCCAGTGTAGACACCTAGGCTGTGTCTACACTGGCATGAATTTCCAGAAATGCTTAAAACGGAATACTATTCCGTTTTCAGTTTTTCCGGAAAAGGAGCGTCTACATTGGCAGGCTGCTTTTCCGGAAAAGCCCTTTTTCCGGAAAAGCATCTGTGGCCAATGTAGACGCGC